AACAACAACAACATTATTTATGCCACTCTGTTGTTATTGTGATTGGCTCCGTTTCATCTCAGAGCTGCTCTGTACAACAGAGTGAAGCTTTGCTGTTACTGAATCATCTTTACCAGTCATTGGCTTTGGTGAAGCTCATTGTGACGACCAATGTTATCTGTCCATGTCTTTGAGGATTTTCCTCTTTTCACTGACTCTTCATTATGTCCTTAATCCCAGAAGGTATATATAACACTAATGATTGCATTTGCTGGGGTGGAAAATTTTAAGGTAGAAACACCACTGGACTTTTTCTGGTATTCGCACAGCATTATTTCTTGTTCATGATGTTTTTGTTGTTGTTGTTATGAGCTGTCAAGTCGCTTGCAACTATGTAAAACAGCCCTAAACTCTGCTCTGTCCTGTGCCAATCGTACTGTCTCTGACACTCCCATCACGATTACCCCAGTCACTGAATCAATCCACCTCATAGAGGGCCTGCCCCTCCTGCGCTGTCCCTCCACCCTCCCAAGCATGAAGTCCCTCTCCAAGGATCGGTCTCTCCTCACAACATGTCCAAAGTATGTTAGATGGAGCCTCAGAATCCTTGCCTCTAAGGAACCACCTGGTTTAATCCTTTCCAGGACAAATCTGTATGTTTTCCTAGCAGTCCATGGTATTCTCAATACTCTTCTGCAGCACCACAGCTTAAAGGCATCAATTCTCCTATCCTCCTTTGTCATTGTCCAACTCTCTGATACTTAATAAGTGATTGCAAAGACCATGGACTGTATCAGACACACCTTAGTCTCCAGAGAGACACCTTTGCTCTTCAGTACTTTGAAGAGGTCCCTAACAGCAGACTTTCCCATGGCAATATGCCTTTTAATTTCCTGGGTACAGGTGCCAAGAGTGTTGACTGTGGAGCCAAGCAAACTAAATCTGTGAACAATCTCAATCTCTTCACCATCCATCCTGATGCTGCCACTTGGCCCAGTGGTAAGAATCTTTGTTTTCTTGACATTGAGCCTCAATCCATATTGAAGTCTGAAGTCCTTGACCCTCTGCAGCAAGCGCTTCAGGTCCTCCTCAGTTTCAGCAATCAGGGTTGTGTCATCTGCATAACGCAGATTGTTGATAGATCTTCCACCAATCTTGACCCCACATTTCTCCTCATAGAGCCCAGCCTCCTAGATAATCTGTTCTGCATACTGGTTGAAAAGGTATGGAGATAGGACACATCCCTGGCATACATCCTTCCCAATTTTGAACCATGAGTACTTCCTTGCTCTGTTCTGATGACTGCCCCCTGGTCCAAGTGTAGGTTTTGCCTTAGCATGATCAAGTGTTCTGGGATTCCCATTCTTCTCAGAGTCAGCCACAGTTTGTT